TGCGTTAAAATATTTGTTTGAGTATAAATAATTACTATTATATGTAAACATGAACAGATAAAATTACAATTCATGCATTTTTATTTGAATTCTAGCTAGCCGACGATTTTTGCTTTGCACGGGTGATTTCTGGATTTTGACTACATCGCCACCTACCGGGTCCGGGTGTTTAAACTATCCAAGGATCCATTGAAATAAACACAAAAAATCGTTTGAGCCGTTTTAGTTTTATTGAGCCTAACGGACAGCTATTGACTTTATATACAAGAAGATATTCTACATATTATGCAACATTGAAGGTGCGGTATTTTTGACTGTGCAATCTATTTGAGAAATCTTAATATCTCCTACCAGTCCCGTTACCCGTATACTGGGAAACGATTATTTGAACAACCTCACTGATGAAAAAATCAGCTCTTTCTTTATATAATCACAAATCCATTACAGCTTATCAAAATCCACTGGCTTTACCATAGATTACCCATATAGGAGGGATTTCCATCGATGTCACACGACACCCTCGGGATGATATAGGGTAGTGGATACCTACTCCTACGTCGTCGGCGAAAATGTTTCATATTCATTTAAATCCATTCCTTTAAAAATATGTATATTGGGTATATATACTGAGTGATTTTCTTTACCGTCTGGATAAAATAGGATGTAACAGATTTGAACAGAATAGAAGCCTATGACAATAATATTTAACAATTGTTTTTTTACATTAACATATTATGAAATTGATCTATCAATAAATACTACTCATTGCGTGCGTATTATTTTAATATCGACAGTTTTTAATTAATTAATTTATTTAGTTAAATTTTTTGATTTTTATTTTTTATAACCGAAAGTTTGGTTCAAATTAGTGGTATTTATTAATATAAATATTAAAAAAATTGCTTATATTAACATATTATGAACATAAATAAAATTCAATTTCATAATACGTTAATGCAAAGCAAAAAAATTGTAAAATATATCTATTCCGTTCACCTGTTATTTTCCCCTATTTTTACCCATTTTTTTCCATTTAGTATGAAGTTGTAAGATAAGATATTATATTTTATGGTGTCTTGTGTATTTTGTGCGATTTCCTTGTCCTACGTCTAAGTTTAAACGAACCAGAGCAGAGACGCGTTAAAAATTGTGAGGCCCACGCCGATCGTATTTATTCAATGACCGGGCCGTTAGGATGTAGCCCGCGTTGAATTCGTAAGGAGTCAACGCTTTATGTAGTCAAATTGACGAAGTTAACGGAACTCTATTCACGAGATCAATTTCTGACAGTATTTACCGTACACAAAAGAAATATTTGACAGTGACATCATCATCATTATCAGAGTCTATCAAATTTTACTGCTGAATATAGGCCTCCCATAGATTAATAAGGTCCTCCAGACCGAATTTCGGCCACGGCGGCCTGCCTCAACGGAGGCTAGCCATCGGCGCAGGACATGATTATAGTGCCCCAGTGGATGCGCAAGCACAGGTGCACTCTCTATTACCCCACTCTCATAATCCGATGGGACGGTAAACCGACACAACCGGAGATATATCAGGCGCAGGACCAACGGCTTGACGTACTATCCGAGGCACGGGGGTGAGACACCGCCAACTTCCTAACTCCGGGCAGCTAGTGAAAATTTCTGGTCGGAAATACTATAATAATTGATTATTTGGCCCGACCCGGGATTCAAACCCAGGACCTCATGATCAGCAGTCGCACTACTACAACCACTAGACCAACGAGGCAGTCATAGATTACCTCATATGGAGACAGTTGCCATGCTTGGTAGGCGGATTGGGTAGTTTTTATTATTTTTATTGCTGCTGTCCATCACTTGTTTCGGTTTCCCTCTGTCACCTTTTATGACACACCCGATTATTGAATTCTCTTCCGCTGCCACTACACGGTATATTGTATAGGTTTAATATTTAAAGACCCCCTCCCACAGTTTGCTACAATACAAAGGACGATCTTGAGCCACTTGCATTCCTCTGTGCACGTTTTGAAGCTTTCCTCCGCATCGGATGTCGAATCTTCGAGTTATACTATAGACACTCCACTTCCAGTTCAGCTGATCCATGGGATAGGAAGGATTATAAAGATTCTCAAAAATATGCCGATCCATTTTTAGCCGATTGACTTTGAATTTCCTCACACAGCTAGTAGTGAAGGACCACGTTTCAGTTTCATAAGTTATAACTGGCAACACAAACTGGTTGCATACTTTACTTTTGACATGATGAAGTTTATCGGACAAGAAGACATGTCATAACTTACCGAACGAAAGTTAGATGGTCGAGGTTGGACTTACATAATAGCTTGTTTTGCTTCAGGTACATATTTAATGTAATAAGTTAATATGATTGTTAGGATTAAAATGTTTAGGTTTTCATTTGCTTATTATTAACTAACCTATTTAAGTTTTATTTGTATAGTCCACTGTCGCATGCCGTGGCAGCCTATAATTAAGATGACACTTAACTTTAGTTTGATTTTTTTAACTTTAAATTCCTTTTTTACTTTAAATTCCATTTTTGTTACTTTAAATTCCATGTATTAGTGTTCATCTTGCTGGTGTCCTTTTAAATAAATAAAAAATAAAAATAAAAAGTTGTAATTCCAAATAGCATTAATTAATTATTCTTTTGCAAAATTAAACTAGGTCACACCACACCCCCGTAAAATAAAGTGTTTCGCTTTTAAAACGTCCGCAGAAATAGGCTATGTTATTTGGCATTACGAAATACGAAACCTTTCTAGCCTCAGTGTGCCATATTCTGCAAGTATGAATTTGTAATTATACATAAATTTTAAACTAACGTACCATATAAATTAATAAATTATGAATCATAATTTATTAATTTATAAGGTATGTTAGTTTTGTTCATAATTTACGACCAACAAAACCATAGGCGTTCGATGCTACTTTGCTAAATATTTTTTTATTTTTTTTATTTTTTTTTTAAAAAACGTTACCCCTACACTAGGATTTTCTCCTGTATCGCGGGGGCAGTTTACAAACATACATTGCACAAGGACAAACATCCAGACCGGGAACAATTATTTGTAGGCTATACAAATACTCGTTCCGTGCGGGATTCGAACCCGCACCCACGCACGCCCAACGCAAGTCCCAGCGCAGCCACGCACTGCTAAGCCACTACGCCACGGAGTCGTCAATATAAATAAAAAGAGTGAATAAAATGATTATCAAATACAACATTTGATTATTCGTTGTAACTAATAAACTTTCATAAGAAAAATATTATGTATGCAAGTGAGTGCTTGTGACTCCGGTAAAATCCAGTGAAAAATGCATTGATGTTCTCGAGGTCGATCTTGACTATGGGGACAGCTTTGAAACTCCGAAGCTATCAACTCCTCATAAGTTAGTACTTAGTATTGTGCCACAAGTGTTCCTGTGCACACATGTGCCGAATAAACATACAACAAGGTACGTGAGGGTAATGTGGTCACCTTAAGTTTTGCCGCCCCATAAAACCAAAACTAGGAGGAAAGAGACAATACACAAATTCGTATACTACGAGTATAACTAATATATTTAAGAGAAAAAAAAACAAGCTTTGGCAATAATTATGAACACTTGAAAAATCTACTTAAAAAAACGTAGCTACATTACGCCATACTAAAATCTACTAAAATATTTACTATAATGGCAATTGTCAACTGTCAAAATGGCGTCGATAGAACAGTGCCTTTTTGACTATTTAATTGACCAATGAAGAGCTATCGCACAGAGCCCTAATACCCCTAGCCCCTTAGCTATCGTATCACAACTATGCAAACAAGGCTGTAGTTTTAAAGTTATAAGAAAGTGACCATTTTAATCGGATGACCATATTATCCTCAGGTGCTATAGTAATTATTATACAATATGCTCTTTGGCTAATGAAACGCTTATGAGACAAGATTAAATTACGATATAGAAAAATGCAGTCTCAGAAACCGACACACAACTAACTAGACCAGATAATATATAATAACATAGATAATAAACAACTTAGTATTACAATTACAAGTAAAAACAACCAATAGTGATACAGTTACCAATCAAACATCCATCCAATTATTCTAGTAATTTTTAGATTATTTAATTATGTTTAGACAAACAAGAAATTTGTATCTGTTTCATTAATTATATAATATATTATTTAATATCAGTTTTTATAAACGCCCTAGAAAAAAGTTTATCGACCAAATTGGCGATATTTTGAAAATGGGCCACGTTAGAAGTACCCTTAACCGACGAGCATGTATGCGTAGATATATGGATGTAAAGGAGGCGAAAGAGGTATGTCAGGATCGTGCCAAATGGAAGTCCGTAGTCTCTGCTTACCCCTCTGGGTGACAGGCGTGAGTGTTTATGTTTTTTTTATCAGTTTTTAAAACATACGCTGTCAAATGTAGATAAATATACATGCATAACATGTAGTAAGGTTAAAGAAGAAACAAATTAAGTTCAAGAAACCGGAAACGATAAGACGGCCTGTCCAATAAACTATCTAAGCGATGAAAATAAAAAAATAAAATGGTGTTCCTTATCATCATAGCCTTTGACTGGAAAAGAAATTATAGATTCAGATCACGGTACCTCGTTTCATGGATTTCATAAATGACAATAAAGTATTAATCAATCAATTCATTGATGCCGCCAGAGAACTCACCAACTTTAACCCATGTTTATGGCAGGAAACACCGGTTAATTTAATGGCTGAATCTAAAATGCTAGAATTCTTTGCTACTAAATAGCAAGATCGGTAAAGTTGGGCTGCGTCTTTGATTATATCTCTAATCTCTATATAATCAAAGGGCTGCGTCTACGTGTGAAAGATTTGCGATTGCGACTCTACCTGTCAAAAATGGTAATCATTGCCGAAGTGAGAGTATTAAAGCCTATTCTATTTAGTTCCATTTAAATTTTTACCAATGTTCACTTTATACGTGCTGAAAACTAAATTGAACGCCTTACCTTCTGTAACCTTTGCTCTGTATCGTCCAGTTTCTGTCGCGTGTCGTGGAGTGATCGTTCTAAGTCCGCCATCTTCTCGGTCTGTGCTGCAATTTGTTCAGACAGAACCTGCACTTGTAGCTGCAAACTTTCCTTGTCTGCCTCCAACCTTCGCACACGATCCTCTGCATCGTTCTGAAATTTTCAATATGTATAAAACTTTGGTTCACAAACTTAAGCTTCAAATTATTATGTTAAATAAATTAAAAACTATTTGTTCACATGAAAATCTTGCTTATTTAAATTGCATGGATACAAAATAGCAAAAAGTTTATAAAAGCGACAAATTTAATTCGTGAAACATGCAGTATTAAAAAAACATCATACAATGTTAAGAGAGTAACTGTCGTTATTATCAACCCATAGTTCGGTTGGTTTACGAGTCAAACTCAATATGTATTTGCCAACACAGATAGCACATAGTTTAAATTAATTAGAATATTAGCATCCATTACTATCAACCATATTTACAGAAGTGTTGATCGCAAATCAGATAGAGATGAATTTTTAATAAAAAAAAGACTAAACATGAAGGGATAATATTTCACATTCGACACTAAGAACAACTGGAATATATACAAAAGATGCGAGGTTTTTACCCACAACAAGTAATATGCTTTATACTTTATGTTAGCTTTTATAATTTCTTTTAATACAAGCAAAAACCTTTATTTTTTTATACCGCAGTTTTTTATTTGAAATAAAATGCAAAAATAAACTTCTTAAAGATAAAATCACCTTAGGACGCTTGTAGCAGAAACTTTTAAATGATCTTATCGTTTGACAGATGATGATCAATTTAAAGATTTATTTTGCATTGAGCAAATACTGCAGTATTTTGTTGCGTTTAAATTAATAATTTATCAAAGAGTGTGATTGTGTGACGAAGAGATGACAAAAAATGAGATTTTTACAAATGCGCCTGCCTGTTGAATTTATTTAAATAGCTTGAAGTCCAAAAAAAATTTCCAAGAAGCAGACGTTGAGACGAGAGGGTGACTAATGAGCGCACATCTGAAATGGAATGCCTCATTTCCAGTAAAAAAAGGGTCTCCGGTTCTCTGTACTCATCATACGAAACACAGCAGTATTTCACGCTGGTATTCTGTGAGAGCGTGGTCCTTCCTCGGTCGAGTCGACCCATTCGTGCTACAACCATAATATAGCTGCAGCGTGGCTCTACCACTTAGATATTTACGATAAAAAGTAAGAAATACAAGTCTGTCACCCAAAGAAATTTGTATAATGTTCGTGTATTTGGTATAAAATAGTTTGTCTTTAAGCCGGATAATATTTCAAAATATACACATTTATGTTTTGCTGGTTTTAGTTTGTTACTGAAATCTTATAAATTACACATTTTATGTTATATTACATATACTATGTTATTGATTAACATTTAAAATATTAGCAAAAAGCTGTAAATAGATTTGTAAATTATTATTTTCATTCTAAATGTTCATTTTCGTAAACAAAATAATCATAAAGATAAATATCAATCAATACGCACCGAGTTACATAAGACCGAAACATTCGTATTTCGCTCACATATCGGTTTAACACGAATTAGCAATTAATGCTTCATTGAAACGGGGCCGAATTTATTTACCTTACAAGTTCGTGGCGGCATCGGCGGAAGCGAGGGGTGTGAGGGCCAAGCGCGGTCGTGCATACAGCAGGGTGGTGGTGCGGGCGGCCCGTGACACCAGCACATCGGAGGCCACCAACCGCCCTCGGGCCAGCGAAAATGTTCATAAGAGTTCCATCGCCGTTGCAAGTCGGGAGGAGTTTCTTCGTTCCTCGTGCGTCGTGGACGTGGTGAGGCACGGACACTAGACGGGTGATGTGGGGGGCTTTGCTGTTAGCGACGACCTAGATTTTCTATCACGTTCGTTACGATCTCCCGGTATACGGCGTCTCCTATCTAAGCTGGTTGAATTGTATTCATCTGGGCGCGTCCCCAATGAAGCAGCCTCAGTTTCTTCTTCCATTATATCGCCGTTAGGCATCCACTTGAAATCATTATCGCAGCGAGTTGAATTGTCTAGACGTTTATTCGGTGTGAGGGTGCGATAATCAGCATCGCCACCGCCTGTTTCATACTCGCGCTCCTCCGAATCTTCATCGCTTGTGGTGCTGGAATCAGTATCGGAAGAGTCTGCCTGAGGTGGCGCCAGCGTACCATCCGTCCAAGTTCTGCATTTCACTGTTGCCTCATCAGGGCTATCCGAGTCGCCGCCTGTCACCAGATAATATGTTAGAATCACGTTTGTTTACAAGGAGCCTCATTAAGAATGGGAACTCACCCATTGGAGAGTACATGTAGGAGCGCACGGCAGGGTGTACAAAACCCACTGCCGCATGCTCCTCCTCCCCCTCAAAAGGTTCTGTGAGAAACTCGCGATCAGACATGAGGCTCCTTAAAACGACACTGCGCGACAAGCACTCTGAACGAGTCACCGACATATCGCTATTTTAAAGTTTGGCCGAGTTCCAGTGTTACGCTACGTCAATGACTCGTCCACGTATTGTGAATTACGTACTTTCCTGAGGAGGCGGTCCCTCGCTGGATTGAACCGATGCGGAGTCGTGCCCCGAAGCTTCCGAGGCCGTAGATCGGGGACGTTCACTGGCACCGGATGTTCTTCGCGAATAGTCGTCAGAAAATATATCTTCGCTTGAGATTCTTAAAACGTTTCTTGACTCCGTGACGGTCGAAAGCGATTTGATGGTTTGTAATTTACCGTCAGCGGCAGAGCGATTGTGTAGCGCCGCTATGGTGGCCGCCACGAATGAGCCCCCACGGCCGAGCTCGCGCATGTTTTAGTCCAAAATGAGCTACGCCACACGAATACGGCCAACGTCCGCGCCCGGAAATAGATCTCGGTTCGTGCGTCTGATGCATTTCGGACACCCTTCCCGCTTTGATCCTTCTTTTATTGAGGCAGAAACAGAAACAGGCTTAGTAATATTATTATTAGAATAAATACGTAAATGTAAATAAACGGAATGTTATTTGCGCGGTATTAATGGATTAGATCGGATCTTGTTAAACACACTACGCATACCTCGGTAATACACACGAGAATAGTAATGCTTAAGCTCAATATAAGAGGTACGGCGTGCTATAATACACAAGTCGTTTTACTTGGTGCACTCACCGGTAAACAGTTGACTCTGAACGTATAGAGAGCGACGCTTTCTGTCATCGCATTTACTAATGTCTTCGTAAGCGCTTATTGTATGTGATTCTATTTGATATACACCCCACGTTTGAAGGCTTCTTGAATCTTCAAAATGTTCATAGACAAATTCGGGATTGTACGGTGGCTGCACAGGATAATAAGGGGGAGCACTTGGTTCTTCAATATTCACTTCAGTTCCCCCATTACGGGCACTTAAGCAATTCATGACTTTTCTCGGATCTATAAATTATGGCAACTAAAAGTAACGTTTCGTAAATATTTAGACGAACAGATTTATTGAATATTGAGTGAGCTTAAAGGTTTTTTTTTCGTTTTTATACAGTACAACACTACGAGACCATCATCGGACTATCAAGTGGTCGGCGGATCTTCACCCCTATTTTGTCGATATTTATATATATATATATATATATATATATATATATATATATATATATATATATATATAATCGTACAATACAGTTTTCTTCGTTTTTTGTAATGCGTACAGCAATGAAGTGAAATAGTCTGCCATTGTCTGCAATTCCGTCCGATTACAATCTGGGCGACTACAAGACAAGAGTGAACAGGCTTTTGTTCGCAATCGCAAGACAGTGCGATATACAATGTAGGGCTTCATGACCACTTACCATCAGGTGGGATTGTATCAAGCATGCATAATAAGTAAAAAAGTAGAAGCGCAGATAAACTTTAAATGGGAGTTACGAGGGCGGCACTGAAAATTTCGGGAATCAAGGAAGTGACACAACATTACTATTTAAAAATGTGTTTATTGCTTTTCAAAGTATTGTCCGCGAAATCTGACACATTTTTCCATACGATGGAACCAATCATTGAAGCAACCATTCCATTCGGAAGTTGAGGTCTCCAAAATGGCTGTTTTGTAGGCGTCCACAGCTTCTTCAGGTGATGAAAATCTCTGTCCACGCAATTTATTCCTTATTTTAGGGAAAGTATAGAAATCATTAGGGCTTAGGTCGGGGCTGTAGGGCGGATGGTCTAATAATTCTATGTTTTCTTGCTTTAAAAACTCTTTTGTTCTGTGTGCGGTGTGAGAACTCGCATTGTCGTGATGGAGGATGATGCGGCGGTTGCAGTTCTCTTTACGGAGTTCAGAAACGACCTGTGGCAAACAAATGCTAGCATACCATTCTGCACTAACCGTTCTTTGTCCCTCAAGAGGAATAGTCGTAACACGGCCGGTTTTGGAGATAAACGTGGCCACCATTTTTTTTGCAACACTCCGTGAACGAACTATTTTTGTTGGCTTTAACTCATTTTCGAACACCCAAACTCGTGACTAGATTTTTGTTTCGGGTTCGTACGCGTATATCCAGGATTCGTCCCCTGATACGATGTTGTATACAGCATTTAAGGATCCTGCTTGGAATCTTTCGAGAGTTCTGAGGCACCAAGTAACGCGAGCCGCTTTTTGCTCTTCACAGAGTGAATGCCATCGGGAAAACAACTTTTTTACACCTAATTGTTCATGAAAGATTATTTGTATTTGACTCATGCCAATGTCTAAAGTTGCCTGAATTTCGCGGTATGTCACATGTCGATCTTCCTCAAACAGCTTACGCACAGCATCAACGTTTTCTTGGGTGACTGCAGTTTTTGGACGACCTTGACGGGGACCATCACTGAGCTTGACACGTCCACGTTGAAATTCAGCAAACTAGCGATAAATTGTGGTTTTGGATGGGGCTTCATCACCAAACGCAGAAATCATCCAGTCAACACACTGTTTTTGTGTTAAACCACTTCGAAAGTCATAATAAATCATCGCTCTTGAATTTACCCGAGTCAATTCCATTTTCTCAACGACTAAACAAGTTTGACAAAACCTTGTGACAAGACCGAGAATCTTTTTTTAAATAAATAAATGGTATTCGATTTTAAAAACCAAGGAGTTTTCAATTAAAAAGATTTTCATATGACAGGAACAGTGGAAATATTCCATTCCCGATACTTTTAGTGCAGCCTAGGTAAGCACACATTTCTTTTTATATTATACTAGCTGGTACACGGTGCATTGCTGTCGCAAAAGAAAAAATTGTGGAAATATCGGTTTAAATTTGGAAAACTTATATTGCTTGGAATTTAATAACATGTAACTTTCAAATAAATTTGTCTTAGTTAACTTAACGTAATTGCAAGCAATAAGTGATGATGAACGGTTTTTTTGGCATCATAAAATACGAACAAACAAACACAAATGTTTATATTTCATTATTGTGTGTATATATAATATAATATCTTTGACAGTCAACCTTAGGGCAGTATTTTATAACTATATCTCGTTTATTCCTATACATGTTTATGTATATGTATATGTGTGTAAATATATATACTTACATATATATACACACTGCTGATAAGTAATGAAGGATTCTAAAATATAAAGTAATTTGTATTGTGTTTTATTTCTTCCATTCCATCCAAACTCCAATCACAATTCACCTTAAACAAACAAAGAATTGCTCGTATTGTCTGTTCGAGATGTACATGGTATCCCAATGTACCTATCGATATACACCCTGTTTATTACTTGTCGCGTATACGCTCACGACATGAATCTAAAGGGTCCCCGGGATGAAAGAATTCTCCCCTCGTCTCGGAAATAGTAACGACAGCTGTCCCGCTGGAGCTTCCGATAAAAGCGCCATAATAATGTTCCGTCAACGAACTATCGTGTTTCCAGAGATTAACGCTATAATATTTTACTTTTTCAAACTCAATGTAAAAAATATTGATACCTAACTGCACACATGAAACAAAAAAAAGTACATAAATAAAAAGTACGAAGACATTTTTTGTGAATATGGTATAATAAACAAGTGAACGCGCGACTTTATACAACATGACGTATAATTTCGAAAAATGGCGCGGAGGTTTTGCTTTATATCATAAAATAATATTAAATATGGTTTGCAAACCAACACGCATTGTTCATGAGCTCTGAAGATCGTAGAGAGAATACTAAGTAATGGTCATGAAGTTATTGTATTGTCATCGGTAAATAATACGTCTGCAAAATTTCATAATATTATTCTTTGGATTAGTTATTTATTTCAGTGAATAAAAATTTAAAATTATGAAATTACATTAAATTCATATATACATAGATACAAGTCAAGCTAATTACAATAGCGTGTTAAAAAGCAATTAATGTAAGTTTTTGCTTTTGAACTTTGGCTACGGAGTGCCCCAACTTTTGAAAACCGTAGTATATTATTGTCGATATATTTAATTTATGGCCTGTTTGTGAATTATTCGTATTTATTACACGTTTTTTTTTAAATTATACTTACGACAAATTTAGATGATTTTCATCTAGCAGCATATTGACACATATGAATATCTAAATGTAGGTTACTCATATTATAATAATAAATAAAAATATGTCATATTATAAACTAATTACTTGATAATACCTAAACTTTCTGGTACCCCATCTGAAACTCATAATTTGTGTCACTCAGTGGACATAATCATTTGCTGTATTTTTTTAAATTTTGATTAATTCGGTGAAAGCAGACAAAAATTAACCTTTTCTACGTCATTTCACATAAAAACCTTCCGTTTATTGCAAACCTATGTAGATACATAGTTATAAAACTCTTCGTCATTAAATTCAACCGTAATTTTTTTTTCAGGCCAACGCATATTAAAGATGTAAATTTCCGAAGTTATTAGATCCATGCATTTTAATAATTGATTCAATTTTTTAATTGCTTGTCGAATAATAGAAATTATATTTACTACAACAGCAAATTGTGTCGAGTTCTTTACAAGAATATCGTAAAATAATTTTAAAATAACGCAGAAAATTATAACTTGTAGAAATCCTTTAGACACTCATAGTCATACGACTAAAGAACAATAAACACTTTTATGTTATCTCTTCGAATTTCAATTAGATTGTAACAAAAACGCAAGTACCTAACTTACAAAGGGGCTGCAGCAAAAACTAGAAATCCAAGTTAAATAATTTTTCTACTTCTTGTTGTAACGCAGTTGAGCACTTCTGCAGTAAAACTTTGTTATACATTCTAAAATAAAATACAAAACACGACCTGAACTTGACAGCGACAGACGATCCTACTTCGGGAAGGAAAAACTAATTTTTCTATTACACTGTCACTCTATTTACATGTGCTTTAGGTTATAAGTGTTAACTGATACGCTTTTATGTACAACACAACACAACTTATGCACAACACCAAGAAATCGTAAATTTTAAACGTGTAAAATATTTAATACGCTGAACATATTTTTTATATCACACGCAATAGTCTTAAAACGTGCTCCGATTTAAAAATCGGCTTCCAGACTTACGGCTAGTGGTTGCCAACTGGTGCCAAAACTTGTCACATGGACAACCGACCTAAAGAGTTGTGCAACACAATCGCTTAGAGTTTATATTTATCGTCCGTATCTAAATCTTTTTCTCATTCTTCAGATTACCTTCATTCGATAGACTATAACAACATATTATGAGGAAAAATATTTTAATTTTAGAGTTATGTACCGCAAAAATTAGATAACAAAACAATTGATAATTCAAAACGAGTGTATAAAATAATTCTTTTCTGATATTTTTATGTTCAAATTATTTATTTTATTTTTAATACCCCACGTTTCAGGAGCTTTCCAGCACCCATGGTCACGGGGGACATGGGTGCTGGAAAGCAGTATTAAAAATAAAATAAATAAAACGCGATAAAATCCGTAAAAGTAGTTTTAATCAATGTATAGTGTTCGCGTAAATATAAGAAATCATTATTCAAATTATTTTTAAAACCGCTTTCGACGTTAAGAAAACGGTATTATATGGTGGAATCAGCATACGAATTTACCACTAGTCACTCGCAATGAGTAAAGTACCAATAAATACAATAGCCAACATACATTCCACTGCTCGCACAGGCCTTGTTTCATTTATGAGAAGGATTTTAGAGCAGGGTCTCAATTTAAAGAGTTGAGTAGGTTAAGCTACTCCAAACCCCGATGCCTATTAGCCTTTTGTCAATTGAAGCGCTCAGCCCTTGAGTTACGACAACTTTTACTTTTAAACAGTCATAATTCGGGTAGTTGTTGGAAACACTATAGTATGCAGTTTTTAAGGATACTTTTTTATAAGTTAAGGGTGACAAACGAGCACACATTCCACCTGATGGTAAGTGGTTGCTACGGCCCATA